CCGATAACCATTCTAATTCCAATTTCAAACCTCCATTTCTACTAAATAAATGAACCCTAAACTATTTTTCTTTTATTTTTTTCTACCCATACCACCTAAGGTGTTATTTGACAAAATTTAGACTACACCGCATCCTTATAAATACCAAGTCAGGATCTGCTATAATAAGACACTATCTACAAGACACCATAGCCCCAAAAATATAGAAAGAATGACTGTTCAGCCACTCAAAATTCTTAATCCCATCATACAGGTAGGATAAATCCTAACCATAGATTGATATCAAATTAATGAACAAAATACGATTTATGGATAGGGCTACTAAGGGGCTGTAATTTCAAAATTCTGCAGAACTACAGTGTACTTTTCCGTAAAAATATATCAAATTTGCATATGGATAGAAGATACGGATTCCCAGGGTCAAATGTAAAATATTGCGACCGGATGAACTTACAGAAATCCGGGTTCATATATTATTTAGGGTGCCCTACATTAATTATATTAGAAAAAAAAAAGGAAAACAGAAAAAGGTACAACGACGTTTAATCGACTGTTGGGTGGATAAACCAGAATAATTTTCTATAGATGAAGTTCGACATTATTTATAGATCAGAACCATCAGTGGATGGTCTATCTCAGATTGCGTAACACTCCAAACCAAATGAACATTATTCAGAAGGTCTGACCGTGATGCAGTAGAACCAATTGAACCACAAAAAAGTCTACACCACCTCCACAATTATTTTTTTTTTTTTCAAATTTCATGCAAATTAAATGGACCCCAACCAGGCATTTAGGGATGTCAATAGGTCAGGTTTAGTACAGGTTTGCATCAATTATATTCTAATCCAATCTGACTCAATATCGATTCAATACAATCCCTATTATTTCAATTGTATTTTTTTATTAGTAATTTGTCTTTTAGATTTTAAGGAGTCATATTTTTAATAAAAAAAGAGTAAAATACAAAAACCTCTCCTGAAATTTTTGATAATCATAAAAACCTCCCCACTAGTTTTATTTTAATAAATATTCTTCCCTGAACTTTTGAGAAGCTTGACAAAAATCTCCCTTCCATCACCTTTCCAAACAAAAAACATTAAACTGATGTAGCAGTTTCTCCTAAATACCCATTCTACCCTTTTAAGCAACTCGTGTAATACACGGATTAAACCCGTATGATGTACAGGTTTGGTTGTACGGACCGGATCGGTTGGACCCATCATTTCGTATTCAAGCTTTTCGAAAACAGGTCTTAGTGACCCGCATAGGTCGTCTTCTTCTCCCAAACTATCAAACGGATCATGCGCTGACCAAATTAGTTTTTTGAGTGCTTTTTACTTTTTTTGTTAAATCTTCGTTTTTTCACAGTAGAAAAGACGTTTAGCCTCGTACCTGCTGTTTGCAATGGTTTGGAAGAGCTGAAACGTCCATGACCTCTGAAACGTCTTTCTCTCTCTCCGTCCGTCTACATATATAAAGGGTTGGAACCTTACTTCATCTTCGTCTTCTAAACCCATTTAATTTCTTTTCTCGGTCACCTTCTCTCTAGACTACTCTAGACAAGAAGATGCGTCCCCTTAAGCAAGAGCTTGGAATCAGTACTAATGGATCTAACAATAATGTCCCCGTTGTGAACTGCAGCTCGGACAATATCATGGGCATGCCACGCTCTGAGCTACCTGCTTTGTCCAGTAATGTCAACCCGTCTTTGGAGGATCAGATGCCTGAGCAGCTATAGGCAGCCGCTAGTGCTCACTACTACATGGGTCGTTGCGCCCTATCACACTCAATGTAATCAGATGAAGCTTATGCTCTTCGTGCTCTCAAGTTAAATATGTATCGTTGAATTTTAATTTCATCGTACATGCATTCGTTCTTTGCAGTTTGAAGATGTGAGTTACAGTATAAAGATGGAGAAGTCCGGAGAATGTTGGTTTTCTGCACCGGAACCCAAGCCTGCTGAACGCACCATACTCAACGGCGTTGCTGGGGTTGTTTGACCGGGCGACCTCCTAGCAATGCTCAGCCCATCCGGTAGCAGGAAAACGATGCTCTTGATGGCCTTGGTAGGCAGGCTTCTGGGGAAGTTCTCCAGCAGCATCACCTACAACGGGTAGACCTTCTCTGGCCCCATAAAGCGTAGGTTTGTGTCACAAGATGACGTACTGTATCCCCACTGCACCGTGCTGGAGACGCTAACCTATGTCGGGGAAGTTCTCCGGTAGCATCACCTACAAGCTGGTCAGTATCGGGCAAGAGATGCTGGTGAACCCGAGTCTGTTATTGTTGGGTGAACCCACGTCGGGGCTCGATTCCATCACTGCTCAGCGTATCGTGGCAACATTGCAGGGGCTTGCAAGAGGCAGGAGAACGGTGGTGACGACGATACATCAGCCATCGAGCTGGTTGTACCAGATGTTCAATAAGTTGGTGGTGTTATCGGATGGGTGCCCGATATATAGCGGCAGTGCGTCTTGGGCACTCAAATATTTTGGTTCTATCGGTTACATGCCCGGGGGTTAATTTGTCAATCCAGCTGATTTTCTACTACGCGGGTTGCTTAAAAGGGTAGAATGGGTATTTGAAAAAAACGGGTGCATAAACCTAATGTTTGCCATCTGGGAAGGTGACGGAAGGGAGGTTTTGCCGAGTTTCTCAAAAGTTCAGGGGAGGTATTTATTAAAATGAAACTAGAGGGGGAGAGTTTTATGATTGCCAGAGACTTTAGGGGAGGTTTTTGTATTTTACCCTAAAAAACAAAACCAAGATGTAAAGAAATCCTAGCTTTTAAAACTATTTAGAAGTCAAAAAGTTATAAAAATACTTTGCATACATGCAGGGGTATCATGATCTGGCTAAGGGGATCAACCAAAACCTGAACTTGACTCAGGTCAAAGAATCATAACCTTAACCAGATCTTAAAGCTGAATATACTTGACCCTACCACAGCCCTATAAAGTTGGGTCAAGTTGGATTCACCATTTAACCCTATCCATTGACATGGTTAATTGTTTATAAATAATAATTTATAGGGAAATTTCCTTATTAGTATCCTTTACTTTGGGCCTAGTGCCACTTTGGTCCCTGAACTTTAAAACATGACAATTTAGTACCCAAACTTTCAAAATGTGTCAATCTAGTACTTGTCATTAACCAATCTATCAGCTGTTAAGTGATATTTGAAAAGACATAAATGCCCTTTGAGTGTCATCTAATTTTCTTTATCAACTATCTCCATGTTGATAAAAATGAAAGTCTCAAATCCTTGCCTCTTCTATTCAAGAAAGTTGGGGTTACATCTTAGTGGGCATTCTGGTGACCTCAACTTTCTTGAACAAAAGATGCAAGGATTTGGGATTGTTTATCTTTTGTCAATGTTTGGATAGTTGATAAAGAGACTTAGATGACATTAGAAGGGCATTTTTGTTTTTCAAATGGCATTTAATGGCTGGTTAACGGCCAGGTTAATGGCAAGTACTAGATTGGCACGTTTTGAGGACCAAAGTGGCATTAGATCCAAAGTATAGGGTACTAATATGGAATCTTCCCTAATTTATATTGTCGGTTGACATTCCAAGCCCAAATCAATTAATATGGTTGGTTTAGCATGGCAGCAACTGACATTTATGTTTGGCATTTATGAACCCTACCTAAGATATATACACATACCACTATTATATATTAGCCTCTTTTTTTGGTGTAAATGAGGGAGACATTAAACATACTATTCGGTTCATTAAGTATATATTTGGCATCGATGCTGCAGATGTTGGAAGCACCATTTTTGAGAAAGTGGTGCTTTTTTTTGTTTGGAAACATTGTTACCAGGTAGGATGTTTTTTAGAGCAACAATAACACTTTCTGTTTGGTACTAGTGCTCTTAATCTGTTTTCAACACTGGTACCAGTGCTCTAAATCTGAGAAAATGTCAAATTCGCCCTTGCTCCAACCCACGCCTTTTCAATTTCTAAGGTATGGCTTGGAGCAATGTTTTTTATGAAAAAATAGTTTCAAACATATTGGCGTTTCCTAGAGCACCATTTTTTTCTTATATAACGTTGATATATCACCATTTTCTAAAGCAACGACATCAACAAAAGCTAATTTCAAGATAAAAGCTCCAAAGGTAGAGACAAAATATGATGCACATAATACCCATTGATCATATATATATATGTATATATATACGCCTCAGGTCAGGTCAGTGAGGACTGCTAGGTCCTCGCTCAGGTCAGTGAGGACTCACTCACCCACCTACTCCTTATCTATCTAATTGTTTCTTCTATCTACTGAATTCAAAAGGTGACCCGTCGCGCCGGGCTATAAGATAAGATACAGCTGTTGTACTACTTGACTGGTAATATATATATATATATATATATATATATATATAATTGTGTTCGATCAATTTATCTCCATTAAGATAGACACAACCCATTGGTTTAGCCCTAATTTTTGTTAAATAAAATAAATAAATTAAAAAAAATGTCTATTGAGGTGGGATTGGTATAGGCTATCTCGAACCACATCATCCATTGATAATACTAAATATTAGGCTCAAGGGGAGAGAATAATTTGTTAATAAATTATTTCCAAATAAATAAATCACTTAGTAAAATAAATAAATAAATGTTTAAATAATAATAATAATAAAATAAATAAATGAATAAATAAAAGTTGAGATAGAAAATAGAAGATTTTATAGGATGTTATAATATTAAATAATTGTATGTGGCACTAGTATAATTTTTGAATGCCATTGAGTCAATTATATATAAAAAGATTTGTTTTATACATGCCATTGCTATAATTTTTGAATATAGAGAAACTTGTGTTATACGTAGCAATCTTGTTAGTAATTTTAGACCGCAAAAAAGATATAAGTGTCAAGCCTCCATATATATAAATTGTGTTAATTAAAGAGTTTCTACCATCCATCCTACGGTCCTACACTCCTACCCCTTATTCGACCGGCGAAAGAAAAAAAAGAAGGAAAGATGAAGTTCGGCAAGGAATTTGCTTCACAGATGGTGCCGGAGTGGCAGGAAGCCTACATGGACTACAACTATCTCAAGTCCCTACTCAAAGATATCCAACGCTTCAAGCAAAGAAACAAGTCGCCAGCGGGGGCTACATCGGCTTCCCTCCTAAAGCGAAAGATGTCTTTGTACAGGGCGTTCAGCGGGCTAACGCAGAGGCACCATGGTGTGAAGATCTCCCCCAACCGAGAAGACAATAATATTGATCATCAGGACCATGTGATACTTGTGAAGGCAGCGCAGGGAGAGGGATCCGAGGGGTGCTACCGGACTGATTTTTGCAAGCTGTCCGACGAAGGAGGAGAGTACGAGCTGGTGTTCTTGAGGAGGCTTGATGACGAGTTGAACAAAGTGAACAAGTTTTGCAGGTCTAAAACGGAGGGGATGTTGAAAGAGGCCGCCATGTTGAATAAACAGATGGAAGCGTTTATAGCATTTCGGATTAAAGTGGAGAAGCCCACGCTGTCGCTGGGGTTGGACGAAACCGCCGAGATCAGTCGTCTTGCTTCAGATGTCGCTACCTCCGCCGCTACTGTCACAGCCTCCAGTCCCTCCGGTGCTAGAAGAACCACTACTGCTGCAGGTTAGTAGTAATTACTACAATTTAATATTATCGTACAGACTTGAGACTTCGTATATATGGTGGGTCCTGTGATGAAAAAACAAGAAACACAACCTCTATTCGCGGACCAGACAAAGAAAGATCGGTGGCTCGAGTTCGGATCTGCTGATGACAATCAGCATTACTATACGACCCGGGTCACCTACACTTTTTCATGCACTTCCTATTACGTGTAAAATATCTATATGCGCATAAACATATAATGTGGATGTTGTTTGGATCTAAATAATTATACTTTGAATTTTTTTAACACCTGTTCCTTTGAAATACCCTCAATTACATTGAAAAAGATAAAAATAACTTTTAACAGTTGTCAAAGTGTTTACCAAATGTACTTCCTATATTGTGGCTACCCAAGAAAAAAAATCCTCCCTCCCCTAGGTGTCAGTTATTTTAAGTACCAATTGTCTGACTTGTGGGTTTGCCATTTGTGAATTCAAACCGGGACCCGTTCGATAGCTGCCGGAGGGAAGCTAACTCGCATTCTGGTCGGTCGATGAGTCACTATTTACACTTTAATCGATGCCCATTCGGTGGAACAAGCTAGTCAAGTATATTGGTGGTTTAGGTGAGAGCATTTAATTACTACTCTGCAACCGTCGTAATTAACCTTTGCTGCTGTATGTTTCTCGCTATGGCAAGTAAGGGCCAAGGGGCCCTTGCAACAGCGATGTAGCTCCAACCTCTTTATTTTTCGGGGTAAAGAACGTAGCTTCAGCCTTGAACCAACGCAGTTCATAACAATGACTTCGCCATCTAATAAAAATACAAGGTTCAAATTTTAGATATAGTAGATCTAATATACAATGTTCAAATTTAACGAGTACTTGATAAATATATTCTGACATCTGAACAATAAAAACTCCATAATCTTTTTCAAGAATATGTTGGAGGTATTTTAAGGACAGGTGTCAAAAAATTTGGAATTTCCCAAATGTTCATTCATCGTACTTGCAACGTTGTACATGCTTACCTGATCCGGATCGGATCTTTGGATTTTGGATACACATTTAAAGCTGTTTTTTTTTTAATTAAATAATAGAAAAATATGTCTAAAACTGATATTTTGAAAAAATATATATATATATATATATCAATTCATCACTTTGAAAGTATTGGGGTGTATCAATATTTTGAACACCTTATTAAATGAATTTCCCGTTTTAATCTGGCATCATCAGATTTTTTATTAGAGCAGTTTTTGAAAAACAGACCTAGAGGCTTTACTGTTTACCCTCCATGTTGCAGGTCAGCCCATGAGTCCATGACAGATCATTGTATGTGTATGAATTGGGGTTTATTCCTACACCACATCCAGCCATGCATTAATTGAGGACATTCTCGTGCATGTATAAGTTTTAATTTAACTTTTTTATACTAAAAATAAAAATTAAGATTCCGGACGAAAAAAGCATATTTTGAGAAAAATAGTTGGCCAAGGCACCCCAATGCATAGATTGCAAAGGTTACCTAAAAACAAAAAATATAAATCATCCAAACTTGACCACTAAACACAAAATTATGGCCATTAAAAGTTTTCTTACCTTATATGCATATAATCTGTAACCCGTCACTCACCCGTTGTACAAGTCAAATGGGTCGACCGTTGAACCACCTGGGTCAAATCAAGTCATTCTTAGGTTTGGGATTAACCCAGACCGGAATCAATCGACACCAAGTGGCATTTCAAACAGTTCAACGGCAACGACGGTTTGAAAACTTCAGAATTTTGAGTTAAGGGGCTTAAGGCCAGTTAAAAGTTTTTAATTTGTCCAATATTAATTTGTATATCTGCATGAATGATTGTTGATCCGTTTCATCATTTAGAGAGATAGATAGATAAATAAATAGATACATAGAGAGAGAGAGATTATTCAATTCAATTGATATTCAATTAATTTGGAATTTATAATAACCAGATAATAATGAACTTGCAGCAAGGCACATGGATGTCATAGAAGAAGCTGAAGCTAGTAACAGAGGAAGTTCATCAGAAGAGTTGGTTGAGGTTGAGGAAACAGCTGACATCATCAGCCAAACCAAAATTATCCATCATGTTATCCATAAAAAGAAGCCGAACAGTATTGTCAAAGCTAATAGACCAGCTCCACTAGATGTCCTTAACCAGGTGAAGATCATCAACCCACTGGAGTCTCCTGTGTCCATGTTAAAAGGCGTCATCAAACTCTCCAAAGGTTCAGAGTTGAATTTCAGAAAACGGGAGCTCAAGAGAATTCAGGAACAACTGAAGCGGGTTTTTGTTGAGTTTTATCATAAACTTCGACTCCTCAAGAGCTACAGGTGACAATTTCTAGACATCTTCCACCGTTGTGGGCCGGGTGCCTTATTATCTTTTAGTTTTGCAAATTAACCATCTAATTTCTTTAGTACTGAATGAACCAGCTTTATCAATCTTTTGGCCTTCTCAAAGATCATGAAGAAATTTGACAAGGTGATCATATCTCCACTTTATATATATAAAACCCAAAATTTATATTTAAGTATTTCAAATGATCGACCTGTTGATCTCTTATACGTACACTTCAATAATATAGGTGACCTCACGAAGTGCATCAGGAGCTTACATGAAAGTGCTTGATAACTCCTACCTCGGCAACTCTGATGAGGCAAGTACCACGTACCACGTATCAATTCTTCTTCTGATGAATCCGTTGGCTCATAATTAATTGTCATTCATTGGCTTGTATGTTCTCTCGCTCCTCACAGGTGTCTAAGCTCATGGAGAGGGTGGAAGCTACATTCATCAAGCACTTCGCAAACTCCAACCGCAGTAGAGGCATGAACATCTTGAGACCCAAGGCAAAGCCAGAAAGGCATAGAGTAACCTTTTCTGTGGGTATGTAATTACTACCTACTTCTATGAGAGGAAATGAGTTGGTTTGTTAATTTTACCTTCGACCTGCTTAATTAATGCTCTAATGTAAAAGAAAAAAAAAAAAAAAACAAAGGTGAAAATTAAGGGAGATCGATCCCTTAGGCTGAAAAGTTGTCTATTAGTTTCTCTCTTATTTTGTATCAAACCAAACAAAGACTTAGGGACCCATTTCACATTTCAATCAATCAATTATCAATATGAATGTAACTGATAAATTGAATCTTGTGGTAATTGATCAGGTTATCTTAGCGGCTGTGTAACGGCTCTCATAGTAGCCATTGCTATCATTATACGTCTCAGGCATATCATAGAAAAGAAAGAGGGTACTCAGTACATGGATAACATGTTTCCACTATACAGGTCAGCTAATTAATCAGAGATATCTCCTCGTGTCCCTCATCACTAATTCCACTACTGTAGTTATTGAGTATGAATGAATCATGGATACCCATAAGTATGGATGATTCACAAAGCTCTGAATTTGAGAAAGTAGCCTGCAGTATAGCTTTTCTCCTTTCTGTAGCTAGCCAGAAAGACCACGTAGTTACTTAAATACTGTAAAAGCAAGGTCGAATTGATGCAGGAAACAATCTAAGCCTGTTACATATATAATTGGAAGATTTCACAATTTTGAGCAAGCATGCTTGATACCTGCAGCTTGTTTGGATTCATATTCCTACATATGGTCATGTACGCCGGGAATATACACTTCTGGACGCGATACCGAGTCAATTATTCATTCATATTTGGTTTGAAGCAAGGAACCGAGTTGGGTTATCGAGAAGTCTTGCTCCTCGCCTTTGGTCTTGCAGTTCTTGCACTTGGCACTGTGATCTCAAACCTGGACATGGAGATGGATCAAGAAACAAAGGACTACGGCAACAGTGAACTACTGCCACTGGGACTAGTTATTGTATGATTCCTGGGCTCACCCATCAACTTCTTCCCATTAGATCTGTTGGTGATGAAGCTTTAATTAGAATTACAAAGAGTCTGCATTTGACTAATAATCCTTCTCAGTGCAGCTTCTACTTGTCATAGCATTCTGCCCATTCAACATCATATATCGATCAAGCCGCTTCTTCCTACTTAGGTGTGCATTCCACTGCCTGTGTGCTCCTCTCTACAAGGTAATGCTGGCTTAATTGCTGAAGAGAAATTCTTCAGGGACATGATGGATGACGAAATTGCAGATCGAGAAAATTATATATTTATTTACATGCATGTTATCCTTAATTAATTTAATTACAGGTCACCCTCCCAGATTTCTTCTTGGCAGACCAGCTTACTAGCCAGGTGAGGTGAAGACCCATATTAGATGCTTTGTACCCGTAATCCAGTTTGTTTGAATCTGACCAACAAATGCTTGTTATTGTTCTATTACAGGTCCAAGCTATCAGAAGCCTGCAATTCTATCTCTGCTACTATATCTGGGGAGACTACAAACACCGACGAAACGCTTGCAAACAAAGTGAAATTTATAAAGTTTTCCTTTACATTGTCGCCGTGATTCCATATTGGTGCCGCTGCCTTCAGGTAGGTACTGGTTTCAGTACTCCAGCTACCTTCATTAATTGCATTGAAGCTCCATGTTGATCCATCTTCAATTCTGGCACTTGAAACTCGAGATATAAGGTGTTTTCATTTAATATTAGTGCATCCGGCGCTGGATTGAAGAAAAGGACCGAATGCAAGGATACAACGCCCTGAAGTACTTCTCAACTGTTCTAGCTGTTGTCATGAGAACAGCTTACAGCCTTTCAGAAGGAATGACTTGGAGAATCATGGCTGTGGCCACTTCAATCGTCTCAGCAATTGTGAGTACATACTGGGACCTGGTTTTTGATTGGGGGCTTCTGCAACGTCGCTCGAAGAACCCATGGTTGAGAGACAAGCTTCTCATCTCACGGCAAGGTGTTTATTTTGGAGCCATGGTATGTACCGCAGCATCATCTAGCAACTATATAGCATTTTGATTGATTTCCCACTTCCCAGTCTTAGTCTAGTATGATCGATCTTTTACATATTTCCACACATACTAATTGCAGATATTGAATGTGCTGCTGAGATTTGCGTGGCTGCAAACTGTGTTGCCTCTGAAGGTGCCTTTCTTACACAGAGAAGCCTTAGTTGCAATCTTTGCCAGCTTAGAGATCATTCGTCGTGGCATATGGAATTTCTTCAGGTATGTCTTACAGTTAAACGCTTCAGTTAATTAAGATTATCCCTTGAAATCTTACTCTTGCCTTTCTGAGCATAGCTGAGAAAAGCAAAGAAAGTTTCCTTCACTAGGAACCTTTTGTAGGCAAGGAAAAGGAACCATTTTCTTCCATATGCTGTTCGTTCTGTTTCTCTGATGATAATTAGAATTTCCTCTGTTCAGGTTGGAGAATGAGCACTTGAACAATGTTGGAAAATATCGTGCTTTCAAATCAGTACCACTCCCCTTCAGTTATGACGAGGACGAAGACAGGGATGAGTAGGAAGACTGAATACAGAAAGCCCACAAGCAAATCTTTACTATTTTCCGTGGCAAAATCCTTAAAAATTAAACACAACAACACACAGAACCAAAAGCAAAGCTTGTAGAATTGAATATGTAAGGTACATTTGTAAGCGGTACAACAAAACAAATTTCTCTGTTTAGACATTGCTCGAACTTGTGACTTATGTCACTTGCAATGTATTACGACAAATCATAAAAATTGAATAAATTCATAACGGATGGTAATAGGATCATTTGGGCGTTCACAGGGACAATGGGGGGAAAGACAGAAACTAAGAGTTGGTAGAATAGCAGAAACGAGGCCCAACCGTCTCCCAGATAACTAAAGCCTTTTAAGTTTTAACACCCCAAGGTGATATTGCAGAATCATTACACAGGTGTCCGTCTCAGAACGACAGAAGAACTGGATGAGTAGTTATTGGGTTTTTCTTTTCTCCTTTTCAAATGACTCCACTCACAGGCTTGGCTGTAAATTTATGCCTTGGCATAGAAATGACAGTTAATAAGCCTTTTTTTTTATTTTATTATAGAATCAGAAAGGCAAATATTACTAGAGTTTCATAATGCGACAGAGAGGGGCAGCCAAGGTGGTGCTCTGCATGCAGTTGTGCTCCAGAATGAGTATGAGATGGGGCTACGTCTAAAGCTTAAACTGTGAATGGTGATGCTGATCGATTAAAAAACCGCAGCCTAATATTAAAGGGGAAGAAAGTATGAACACAGTGGTTGTGAAACACAGCCATGCCAAAAACCTTCCTATTAGGGGGGGGGGGAGATGGAATCATTAAACATAAAATTAGACAAATGACTTCTTAAACAGAAAAGCAATCACAATTTACTTCAATTAATTTCCTATACAAGATATGCTACCCTAACCAAATACCAAGCTGGATTCTTTGTTGTTTTTTGAGAAGATCACAGAAATATAATGGAAAAAGATTGCTGATATCAGCTAGTAGAGTTCTGCTTAGTTCAGCCTTCTGTGAAATAATATCTGCAAACATGAAGAGAATTATATATACATTAGCTGGAGCATCTGGCCAAATGGGACATTAAGCCTGCCTTCTCTATAATATGCAACTATGCCTCCGTTAGCACAATATATGAAGAATAAGCAATGCAGAAATTTTTTCTTTTTATATTTGGTAACGACCTCAAATATTTACATAAGTTGCTAGCTTGATGCAATGCTGTGCAAGTATAGCGATAAGTATGAATACACACAATACAATATTAAGAGATCTGTGAAAAGAACATAATTTTAGTTAGGTAAAATTAGAATGAAGTAAGGTGTTCTTTTTCTTGACCTGTAAAGCTTGTGCCCTATTTTCAATTTTGCAACATTTTTTTTTTTTATTTTTGGCAAAAGGATAAACCTTGCATTGATGTGCAAATAAAAATTCCAAGTTCCATCTACAAAAGAAAATATATTAAAATCAAAAAATGAATTAAAACATATACCATGACAACTTCTACAAGGTTATCAGCGAATGTGGTCCTAGCATGCATGAACAAGCATCTCTGATTCTGTAAATTACAGGAAATCGCCCAATATTTCCCAAAAAAAGTAATAATTTGCCACCAAATCTTCAACAAATACCAGCAAAGTAATAGAAAGCAATAGATCATTTCACTATCTGATAGAAGTGTGAGAAAAATCTAGCACGCCTACCTGTCAAGATATCAGATGACCAATTGTAAAAATTTGTTCAACTACTATCATCTATATAAGGATCATGTTTGGAAAATATGGTGCTTACACACCTCCGAGAAAAAGACTAGGGGTGCAAGTCAGGCACCCAATATGAAGATTTTGCAATCCACCAGGCCTGGGCTTCCAGGCCAGGCCCATAACCCAAGTTTCAACCCTAAAATAACGCTCCCTATCCCCAAAAAATCCAACAAAATAATTTAAGGAAGAAAGATTTAACTTTGTAGCCAGGACCCCGTACTCTTCTATCCCCATTTCAAACGGATGACTACTGGATTCAGACCACCATGTTTACAAGTGTAACAGCTTCCCTGCCATTCATATATCAACAAATGCAGGGATCCATTCTATCTCAATTGCATCAGCTTGTAAAATTCCTGTACTGCCACACCTCTAACTACTAAATATACTAAGATGGAAACTCCACACTCAATGATCAACTCCCACACCAAGCAACCCAAAAAGAAAAAGAAAAAGAAACATGGGTACAAAATTTTGAATAACTAATCAAGGAGGAACAATTTAAAGCAGATGAACTCTCCAAACTCTTCACAAAATTTTAACAAAACAGGTTGAAGCTGTATATATCCACCTAAATGGCTAAACAGTCTGTCTGGACCCTAATAGAAAGGCCATTACCAATGCTGGTAACAGATCCAGGGTTTTGGGAGTGGTAGACTGGATACAGTCCTAGTGGCCACTGTCAAACTTGAACCCATGTTCTCATGCTTGCTAGCCTGAGATTTTACCACTAACCAAGCAATGCCTCCTTCTGTTGAACCATAATGCAACATTGCTAATGAGAAGCCACTGCAAACAGTTATCAAAGTATCACTCAACCATTTTTTTTCTTCTTTTTTTTCCTCCCATATTGATGAAGTATCAACCATGTGTATATAACCAACAGAAAGGACCCTTGAGGAAGAGGTTTTGCTTATTTTATGATATCATACTTTGAGAAGTCAATTTATTAAATGTTCCTCTCTTTGGAATATTATCTCTAGTGAGGCCCTTGAAAACATGCATATTATGTTCTGTACATGGAACATTACTACTCATTAAATTGAATGCTACACTATTTACTTCACATTTTTCCTTTCTCTTAATTTTACTTGGTATGAATTTGACATTGCGAAAAAAAAACCACATCAGATGCCCACATATTTAAATTGGCATGAATATATCTAATCATATAAACCATAAACCCCTGTTACACTAGTAATGTAAATAATGAATAATGACAAGCATATGCTGAAAGAGCAGTTTTTCTTTCTAAGAAAAACATGTCTGTTTACAGCACTAAATGACAGATATTGTCATCAGATTTCATTTTTTCTTTTAACATGTTTACCAAAGGCCATACTGCATATGAAAATGACTATGTCATATTTTGAAACTGAAGCATTCAATTCACAAAATCCATGGAGTTGTTGGGCACATTAACAAGGAAACATACATGGAAGTGAAGAATGTGGAACTAACTTTGTATAGGACCCAATCTTTGGAACAATAAATACTTCATGCCGCAACTGCTAGGGGCCTTTTGCTGGTCTTGATCCCTCTTATAGCTGCATGCAATAATAACATTTTATGCATGTAAATAGGCAGGTAGACCTCTGAAGTTTTTAAAGCCATTAGCAGAAAGCAGGAAAACAGATTAAGTAAATGTCTATGTGAAAATTTTGGCAAGGAATAATGGATCAATACCTTCAGCATAATCTTTAGCTCCAAAGACAGCAGAACCAGCAACCAATGCATTCGCTCCAGCTTCAATAACCTGTCAGAATATAACAAAAGTCACAGATAAGTCATGGTTTATAATAGATTAAAGCATGGAATGAAGCCTAGATAAAAATGCATCTAAGCATAAGATATAGAAAAAAAAAAGTAGATCTGCTGCCTCTTAGAGCCTGACAACTTGACATTTGATTTGGTAATGTTGTTGCGAAAAACCCAAGAAAAGCAGATTTGAATGGCACCCAAAATGAAAGTAAAACAGAGACAAAGAGAAATGAGCACAGAGAACACACAGATTTATGTGGTTCGGCTTATAGCCTACGTTCACGGGCAAAGGAGGAGCAGAAATCCACTATGTAGTCAGAAATGGAGAAGAAATACAGAGTTGTGCACTCACAACCTCACTCACAGAAAACCCTAAACCCCAAATACACTCAATGTCTCACTCTTCTCTCATAAGACAAAGACTAAGTGTACAAGAGAGAAAACCCCCGAAATACATAACTCTTCGTATTCAGTTCGGACCTATGAGCTGAAAATGGATCGGGTCCATAAAATTTCGCCTTCAGGTTTTTCTCAAATTATTTTGGAGCGGATTCATGAAGCAGGTCACCACAGAGAATTCAAGGCACAAACATAACGCATGTAATTGGCCTTTTTTTGTTGTATGAATATATTCACACTTCAAGCATCATAATCAGATCCAGATCCCAACAATTTGGAGTTCCCTTTTATTTTCTGGAGAGTTAGCTGGACTTGAAAGCATGACCTCATGTATAACAACTTGTCATGCAGAACATAAAAAAATTGCAACACTATCTATCTAGGATCATATCTCCATTCAAGCAAAACCATACACAAAAAGCACAGAAAATCTCATTGGAGCACCTTATATGCATTTGCTGGACCAACTCCACCATCAACTTCAATCCATGGATTCACACCCTGCAAAGGTACAAGTCCAAAATATCATCCTACGGATAAAGTAAGTTTGCATAATAGACAAGTATAATTCAAATCCCATCTCTTGTTATTCACCTTCTCGGCGCACATTCTTCTCAATTCAGAGATTTTCTTAACTTGGCTTTCAATAAAACTCTGCCCACCAAATCCAGGGTTTACTGACATAATCAATACTAGATCAACCACTGCCAACATGAGACGATAATCTGGTCATTTTCATGTCCATTTTATAATTAAACCTAAAAATTATAATATGATAAAGTAAACACATTAAACCAAGAATAACTTTTGAGATACAATTGAGAGCTCCAAGGCCTTAGTCAAAACTTTTATGTAGATCATCTTTCTCAGTTCTTGACAGGCAGAAAGCATATAGACTGTTGCATGTGATGTAGGTAGATAATTAGATAGATAGATACATAGAGCATGTGTTTTGTCTCAGACAATGTGGTTAGATAGAAAGAAGGATAGATAGACAATCAAACATGAAGCCAAAAAGGCAGATAGGGGTAAGAGGATTGTTAAGAAAACAGAGTCAGGAAGATGAGAGTGTTTTAATTGGAAACTACTCAAGGAGTGAATACTATTTGTCAATTTTTTCTTAATTCAAGTCATTTATAGCCACTTCAAGTTATGGATGAAGGAATTCCCCATTGTTTGAGCTAATATCACCCATCACAAAGATAAACAAAACAGACAAACAGGAAGTTAAACAAAGTAACTTTCTGAAATAAATTATGATAAGACTTCATTATGAAACCAGGGTAACACTGTTCATTATTGAAGGGTTCTTGAAGGTACTACAAAACAAATCTTACCATCAAGAACATATTCTATAGTAGATAATGGGGTAGCTGGATTTAGAACCACTCCAGCTTTAGCTCCTAGACTCTTAACCTGAAAAATAAGAAGCAAATGAATAAATAAATAAACACCACTCAGATAATGGCATAAATAAAACAATTGAATATTATTCTCACAAACTGATATCCAAAAAAAAATCAGATACATTTTTCCTCTTATTAAAATCAGAAAAAGGCTTAGCTTTCTCCTTGTCCTTTCCCTTCTGCAAATGCATTACAGTCCAAGTAAATCAGGGCCTGTGCAGTTAAATGCATTATCCTAAAAGGTTTACTGGGGCGTGTGCCTTGAGGCAAGGCACACAAAGGCTGCATTTAGGCTTAAGACTCAATGTCCTGATTTGAGGGTTAGACCCTTGTTAGATGGAGTATACACCTCATGCCTCAAGGTTTGAGGCTATAAGAAGCATAAGCCTCAAAAGTTAGTGATCCTAGACAATTTTAATAGGAGTTTAAAGTTTAACATGTATAGGGATGGTTATTTTGGTCAATATCACCAAATGACTACATAAACAATACATGTCTTGTGGGCTTATAAAAAAACCAAAAAAAAAGAAAAAAAATACATGTCTTGTGTTTAAATATATATTCAATTTATATTATTGTTATTTTGGTCCCAGTTTTCAGTTCCACATAGCTAGAACCAACATTGGGTACTGACCCTTTTATGTACTTCTATTTTTACTTCTTTTTTCATTATAAATTATAACCTATTAATGTGTGTACATATAAATTCCATTTGCATTTAGGAATTTGTATCTTATTATTTTGTTGCTTGTTTATTATTTCTTTATAATTCGTCAATTTGTATGTATCAATGTTTATAGTTTCTGGATTTATTTATAATGTACTATGTTTCATTGGTTTCTACATGTTAATTCAATTTGTATGTGCAGATGCATTGAATGGAATGTCAACTTTACCATTACTAATAAAGAAGCAAACAGTTTCCCAAATGAACTCAACAGCATCTTCAACCAACAAAATTCCTTTTCATCACCAAGGATTAAGGGGATTAACAATGAATGTTTTGCACATGTCTAGATGATTAAACCCAACATCAAATGACATGAAGATTGTGTAATAGGGAAGCAATACGCTTAAACAAAAGACTAGATTTGACATTTTTGAAAACAAATAGTTTATGAACCTAAAAATATCAAATGCACTGAAGGGTTTGAATACTATGATATTATGACATCCTATTGTTCTCTTTTGCGACCTTCCCAATCCAAGTCTTGGACTGTAGTGGAATTTCAGGTTGGGTTTGTGCACAAGAAGAATAGATCATGAGCAAACCTGCACCAGATAACCAGCTGTACTAGTCTGATTTCCTGAGTGGAGAAGTGCTGGGGTCAAAAAGAAGAGGTAAAGTGGCAGCTGCTGAGAGGGAGACGGGTGTTTTGGAGGTGAGATACGGGAAACATACACACACACACAGAGCTAGTTTGCCAACCTATCTTCTTTCCCATAAAGCCAGTTATAGGTGGGTAACTACTTGTCATGATCCATCTTGTCCATAAACAAATGGTGGTTCTTTCCATCAGATTTTGGACTCTTGATGCACATTACCAATGTCAGAACACCCACAGACCTGTTAATTGCATATACATTGTCCAGCAGTCAATTGTGTGCAGTTCAAGTCATAGGTCAGAACTATGCATGGTATCATTTTCATCTAGATATATAGTTTTTTATTTCTTTTCACTAAAAGGAATCAAGAAGCAAAAATGAAAATTTGATATTATCTCCCTAGTCCAAACAATATTTTGACCCACTTGTATAATCAAAAATTCAGAGTTAATCTTACTTGATTAAGTGTTCGATGCAAATGGATAGTGGAAGATTGTTCACAGTGAACACTGACAATGTCAGCCCCAGCCTTGATAAAATCTGGTACCCGCTGCTCCGGTTCAACAATCATCTGCAAGGTTTATCTTTCAAATTAGCCATCATTGACGACCATCCAACATCAATATGGGACTCATGCAACAAAATACAAAAATACTGCTTTAGACTTTCTCTATGCACCAACTAGTTCAGGCTATTAAAGGAAAGGGAACAATACCAAATGTACATCCAGTGGAAGATCTGTCACTGGCCTCAACGCATCAACTACAAGGGGTCCAATTGTGATATTTGGAACAAAGCGTCCGTCCATTACATCAACATGAATCCAATCACACCCCGCCAACTCCACTGCTTTTACCTAAAATGAGAATAATATTTGAAAACCCACAGAGAAAACCCCCTCCTTTTTTTTTAAAGAGTCTAACAATATAGAAGGGACTGGTAAAGATCACCATAAAAATGCTAAATGCTAGTCATAGAGCTTCTATACCATAAAAATTCTAAATCTAGTATCAGAGACAGAGAGATTCTACATCTGATGCAAAAGTTAGATACACATAACGGAGAAGTTATGTAAAACAAGAAACATATTCCCATTGGGAGTTCAAGCAGTTCCATATTCCCATTAATTACATCAGGAAACTTTCAAATTAGACACCTGAAGCATAGTTAGAAGAAAACCTGTTCACCCAACGTAGCAAAATTGGCAGAGAGAATAGATGGAGCAACAATGATATCACTTTTTGAGAACTTGTCAACACGTGCAGTTGCCTTCACTGTTGTTTGAAACTTCCTCCTGGACTTGAACAAAGGAAATTAGCATAATGGTAATAGCATTGCACTCTATAGATCACTGGACATATTAAGAAATAGATGAGACATCTTCCAAACACCATATAAAAATCAACTTTCCACTTCAATTCTGAAGCCCCTCATATAGGGGGCATTGCTTGGCTCAATGGAAAAATCTTGAGATTACTAGTGTGAGAACATGGGTTTGAGTCTGATAGCTGCCACTTTATGCAATAAAAAGGTTTGGGCGGTAATGACCTTTTACAAAGGCCCTCATATGATCGCAATTAAGTGAGTTGTAAAACTTCAATCGAATCAAATTGCATACCCAAAACTGATACATAATTAAGTCCCAATTGCAATGAGATTATTAAACATACTGTTTCACCCATTTTCAGAACATGCCCAGGCTAGAAAATTTAAGTTCATCTTGGCTTAACTACAAATAAGGAAGGTGCAATTTGAAGATCCAAATTATGGATATGCAGGACATAGTTCCTTCATTTTTAAACAAAATCCTAATCTGTCCATCTTCAGCTAACCTCCTTTCAATACCCATCCTGCATAAAATCCTTTCATGTTCAAAGAAGAAGCCAACTTCCCTTAACCTCTTCATCCTTAATTAAGTCACTCGATTCCTATTTATACCTTAAAAGAGTAAATCTACAACTTCAAGATACTTCCCGGCATTTATAAGCCAAATCGTGTATGGAATTGTAGAATTCCAAAGTATAGTGTTTTATGGGACAAGAATTACTTATATCTTCCTCGATTCACTCCATAAAAAATTACGACCGAGCTGCATAAATTCGTTTTAATAGCTTTGATCTCATCAGTACAAAAGAAGGAAGACATGTAACTAGTGATCCAATTAAGTAACTAATAGTCTAATAGCCATCAAACAGAAAGCCAGAAATAAAAATAAAAATAAAAGATTAAAGGAGAAAAAGAGATAAGAAAGATACCTTGTCGAGGTGAGCGAATTGGGAGGAGAGAGGTATGATCTTCGAAGCTTAAGGCCGCCGCCAAAGCCACTGATTTGGGATTGAAGAGTCGTCGAGCACAAAGAAGCTGTAGCAGACATTTTTCCTTTCTTTGCGGTTAGGTGCTTCTTCCGGATTTCTTCTCCTACTCCCTCGTCCCTCCCACCGGTCGTTGGATTAAGTTAGTTTTCTCTTCTTTTGTTTCAAGTCAGACAGCTCCGGAGTCCGGACTAAATCCTGGGTGAAAAAAGCAAACGAACCTACGCAAGACACGTGGCAACCTTATTGTGAGCATATTTATCCTCAACGGTTGGCCCCTGGTTCTGGCTTGAAAACTTTCTAAAATGGCAGATCTTAAGAATTGCGAGGGTAGTTTTTTGATATCGCCACTGGAATATTCCATTTTAAGACTCCTACAAACGTCTGCATTCAAACTGGCATCTTCCACTACCTATCCAAAAATCCATTCGTTGTGGCAATAACATCTATCTTTCAAGCAATGCTGAAATTTCATTTAGGGGGTGTATTTTTAAGTGTATTTACCCATGTTCTTTTATTTTCCATGTAAATAAGGTAATGTCCATTTTATCCATAAAAATCCATTATTTACAAGGGGCATTTTTGTCCCTTTCAAGTGTTGGCAACTTTCCCTAAGGTGAGAAAGTTATTTACCCACCTAGGATATGAGTAAGTGATACCCCGGAAAATAAACTTTCCCTGGTCCCCACATAAATCTGAAAAAAAAAAAACATGAGATTTTTGGTCAATGAGAATTAAAATCCCATTGGCCAACTTTCCCCCTCTTAAGGGTTTTGAGAGAGGGGAAAGTTGGTCAATGGGATTTTGTGGGAAAAAATTTTTCCCAGGTATCACTTCGTGAATTTTTACAGTGGGTAAATAACTTTTCCACTTGGGGGAAGTTTCCAACACTTGAATGAGACAAAAATGCCCTCTTAATAATGAATTTTAACGGTTAAAATGGTCATTTCCTTTTTTACTTGGAAAATAAAAAAAAAAAGGAATGGGGCCTTAGTTCCTAGGAAAAACTTACCCATGTAATTTACCCGGATAAATAACTTATCGAAAAGCGAATGGGGCCTTAGTTCATTTAATCAACTTTTCATTAAGACCTATTTGTTTTGCCATATGAAAATAGAAACGTGATCACCTAAAGTAATTAGAAAATGTTAAAGGGCATGGACCCATGGTTGTTTATTTCAAAAGTACCCCTAAACTGAGTGAAAAATGTTCAAGGATATGGATCCATGGTTATTTATTCCAATAGTACCCCTAACACTTTTTATATAGAAAATAAAATTGACCAAATAGAGAAAAATAGAGTGGTTGTCTATGTTTTACTAGGGGCAAAATTGATATTTTCATTTTAGTTTCTTATGATTAAATTTATTTGAATGGATATTAAGGTTAAAACTATCATTTTCTATTTTCATCTTATGGAATGTCGATTAAGGTGGTGTTCGGTAGTGTGTAAATATCGTGGACGGGACCGTTTTGGTCTTGTCCATGATAAGATATGGCGTTTTGCTACACAAAATAGCGTGGACAGGGATGGGCGACACCCAAATTTATCGTCCCCAATATTTTCTCGTGGATGGTCCACACTATGGTGTAGACAATTTGTGGGAAGGTTTTAGTGTAACGTACCTGCATTACATTGGTCCAATTACTCTCATTTTATTTAATCTTTTAATAATTTTTAAATTTTAAATTTTTAATATTTTATTAACAAAATAATATTTTTTAATGTTAATTCTAGCACAAGTTTGACGATTCTCCTTCTCAACTCTTTTTTCATTATTTAAATATTAATTTTTTAATATTTTTATCAATAAAATAATAATTAAATATTATTATTATTATTTTTTATATTTAAAATAATATTTTTTAATTATTTAAAAATGCAATTGTTTTCTACATATTGATGCCTTCTTTTTCAATTCAATTACCATATAAAATGCAAAAATTAGACATTTATGATYAACTATGTAGATTTCCCATAAAATGTATATGAGATACATGGAATCAAAAAGTTTGGTAGTCCCACACCACACTTATAGAACGCCACTGTGGGTGTGAACCGGTCCGGTGAGCACAATCTATCCATAGTTCAGAATAACTGTGGATTGTGGTGTGGTGTGGATTGGTCCCTACCACAGGGTGTGGTGTGTACCAATCCACACCCACCAATTTCTCATCCATACTATAGAACACCCCCTAGTAAATTAATTGAAAATTGTATAAGATGTTTTAGTAAAGTACAAACTACAGGGTAGGTTTTAGTAAATTAAAGAAATTATAGGAGTGTTTTAGTAAATGATCCTAAAAAGATTATTGAAGTATTTCAAATAAAAGAAAGAAATGAAAAGGACTATTGAACATTGAAAGCACGTAGGAAGATTGGGCCTTAAGGTGGTACTATCTGAAGCCCATTGGATTGTTTGGATGTTTTCCTAAAAAAGGATTTTTCTAGTTGAGGATTGGGCCTTGAGCCCTTGAGTTGGTATTAATTCACACAGAAGAATTGGACATCATCTTTTGAGACTGGATCTGCTCCTCATAGAGTGCACCTTGCACAGATCTCATAGCCTCATCCCACTATGTATTGAAAACATCTCTCGTCCTATGTGTTGTTATTCATGGGAAGATGTTCCCAACACCGTAGGCTGGGTTGTGAGGTACGCTTTGTGAGGAGCATATCCCAATTCTCATCTTACCCAATAACTTTAAGTTATTAGGTTATAGGTTAATCCTCACTTAGAAAGTACCATTCCACAAATCTTTCTAACAAAATCATTCAAAACTTCAATAGATTAAAAGACCTACTATTTTTCACAAAAAAAAATGTAGGCAGGAAGTTTGTTAAATAAATAAATAAAAGACCTACTAAGCTTTGGGAGCTGGGCTCGGAATATCTTGACCATTTGATAACATGTGATTTTGAGAGATTTTCCCAAAAGACAGAAAAATAGAAAAACCATTTGGTAAGTTTTGTCTAAGTATGATTGTTACATGATGTATGTAATAAATTAGACACGTGTGAGCCTAATTGATATCTATAATGCAAAATCGCACATTGTCCCACAAAAATATTTATACTTTTATTAATTATTAATTTAAATTATTTTTATTGTTGTTTAATAAATTATAAATATAGTAATTCTTTTACCATTTTCATTATTTTAAATACTTTTTACTAATTTTCAAATGCCTTATTTGTATATTTTAATTATTTAACACATATTACTTTATATTGTACTTATTTTATGATTATTTTTTATTAATTAACAATACTATTATAATTTATAAGAATAATAATTAATAATATTATTATAACAATTTTAATTTCATAATAATTTAATAATATTATAATTTTATGTTATAATATTATAAAACCGAGCTAGGAATAGCAAAGTGAGCCACAAACATCAAGGGAAACAAAGGTAGAGAGAGGAGAGAAAAAAAGAATGGGGCAAAGCCATTATTGTCGATGAGCAAAACCGAGAAGTTGAGAATTTTTAAAGAGCAAAGCCAATCAAGAACACAAAGGGGGAGACATAGAGAGAGAAGAAGAAGGGGGAGAGCAAAAAAACAAACAAATACATTTAATCCCAAAGGTGGAATTGTTGACCTACCAAATAGGAAAACAATTTCATCTTTAGGTTAGTTTTAAATTTTGTAAGTCATTTCCATCATCATAAAACACAATTCTTGTTTTTTTCGTTATCTTTATTTAATATGATTAATATAAAAAGTTAGAGATTGCTCAATTTTTATTTATTTATATTTTTTGAATTTATTTCTTTTTCAAACATTTTATTACTTAACAATGAGTTCATTGGTTGACCTATTTGACCTGGATGGTTGAATTGCTTACTTGCCATTAAGACAAATGAATGGTTTCATTTTTGGGTCAATTTTAAAAAGCATGGGTTTTATATTGCTTCTTTATGCCCATGGGTTTTATATTGTTAAAAGTATTAAATATAGATATAATTGATAGAATTTATTAGTGAGAGAAAGTATAGCTTAAATATAAAATTCGATGAGAGTGTGAGAGTTAATAACTTTAATATAAGACTTAATGTAAGAGAGTTGAAAGAGAAGAAAAGTAGTAGTTCAAATTATATTTTTCGCCCTTACAATTAGAAAGGGACCAAATACAAAAATGGTAAGTAATTGGATTTAATAAAAGATAATTGGAATTAATACCTTAAATATAAGATTTAATGATAGGGAATTGAATGAGGTAAAAAATAGTAGTTCAATTTACTTTTTTGTCCTCATAATTAAAGAGGGGCCCAATTCAAAAATAGGAGTGTTTTAGTTAAAAAAACATTTCACACTCTCATTCATACTTTTATAGTAGTATAGGTATGATATAGACTTTATTATTTAACTATGACTTTGTGGGTTAATCCAATATAAGGGTTTCATTTTTCATCCGCTTTAAAGAACATGGTTTTTATATGTCTTTTTTTGCACCCATGGGTTTTATAATGTTAGAAGTAGTGGATATAGATTTAACTGATATAATTTATTGGTGAAACAAAAATAACTTAAATATAGGATTGGATGAGAGAGTGTGGTAGTTAATACCTTAAATTTTAGACTTAATGAGAGGAAATTGAATGGTGAAAAGTAGCAGCTTAAATTACATTTTATGTCTTCACAGTAAGAAAGGGACCAAATTCAAAAATAGGGATATCTTAGTCAAGAATAAGATTCAGTGAAAGATAAATTGGAATTAATACCTTTGACATATGTCTTAACAAGAGGAAATTGAATGAGATGAAAGTAATAATTCAAATTACATTTCCTGTCATCACAATTAGATATATAATTATAATTATAATTATAATAACAATAATAATATTAGAGATGTGTTTGGATGTTTTTTATAGAATTTCTATATTTTCTATGATCTTTCATATTTCTATCTAATTTAAAATTTTTATTATTTAATTATCATCATGGACTGGCCCGTTTGACATAACATAGAAAATTGTTTTATTTCTATGTCAATTTTAAAATTATTACTCCATTTCCACATCAATAAAAATAATTCTTGTTTATGACACTTATTTTTATATAATATGATGAATGTATAATATTAGGGATGCCTTCAAAATTTTTTATAAAATTTTTATGTTTTTATAGCTTTTTGCATTTCTATCTATTTTTAGTTTTTAATTATTTAATTATGACATAATGGGTTAACCTAGACAATTTAATTCCTAATCCATACCTCGAATGGAAAATATTTTCCCTTCCGATACAACTTTAAATTTTGTGTTCCATTTCCATTACCCATAAAATAAGTCTTATTCATCAGATTTATTCTTTAATATGATTGGTATATAATATTACAAATATGCCAAATTTTCTATTTTTATATCTCTATATTTTTAAAATCTTATTATTTATTTATAACCTCACAAATTAAGCCATTTGGTTTTAAATTAATTTTGTATTTTATTACACCATTAATAAAGAGTTTTCGTTTATCACACTTACCTTTTTTTAATATCATGAAATAATATATAATATTAAAAATGTGACATTTTTATTTTTATTTTTGAAAAATCTTATTATTTAATTGTGACATCATGGGTTGAACCATTGGCCCACCACTTAGAGAGGAAAATGGTTTTGTTTTTGGATCAGTTTTAAATTTTGTATTTCAATTCCATTTAATATGACAAATATATGATATTAGAGATTTGTCCAAAATCTTTTAAAGATTTATTTATTTTTTCTATTTTTATCTATTTTTAAATGTTTAGTATTTAATTATGACATCATGGATTCACCTATTTGACCCAAATGGTTGACATGCTTTCTTGCCACTTAGAAATTTGGTTTTGTTTTTAAGTTTATTTCAAAAATAGAGGTTTTATACTACCAATATTAGTACTTATGTATTTAATAAATGAAATTTAATGACAAGAGATAAAATACCTTAAATTTAGGATTCAATGTGAATGGAAGTTAATGCCTTAAATATGAGACTTAATGATGCAAAGAAAATGCATTGAAAAGTAATATCCAAAATATTATTTCTACTTTCACAATTGAGAGGGACCACCTTAAAAAATAGAGGTATTTTAGTCAAAAAGGTTCACAAGCCAAGGGTCTAGTAGCATAGATATAGATATAAATGGCCTTTAGTAGACTTGTTCAAGAACCGGGCCAGGCCAAACTTTGTGTCTTTATTAACAAAAAATTTCTAAGCTCGAGCTTGAGCCCAACTTGACCATTGGGCCTATATCTTATATTCCCTTATATAAAGTTCAAGGCCCGGTCTGGATATGGAAAGTCCTACCTACAATGTAATTTAATAGACTAATAAGCTCATTCCTATTTCCCAAATTGTAAATTGGTATTTGATAATAGTTTGAAAACTAATATATATTAAATATTATTAATATATATTTTTATTATATATAATATTATTGGGTCGAGCTTATTTGAGAAATCCTAAGCTTATCCGTCAAACTACCTGGCCCATCAACAGGTATAGTCCCTCTATGTTCAATCACATGAGCAAAACCCTTTTCAACGTACAATAGGAGCTTTGATTTTAGACCATCGTCCATGTTTTGGCCGTTTTTCGAAAACCTTAAGAGTTTTTTTGGGTAAATTATGAAGACCCCCTTGTACTATGGGGTGAGTGACAAAGACCCCCTCTGAACTCTAGCTATTAGACAAAGACACCCCTCCATTAGCATTCCATCAGTTAATTTCAAAAAAGATTCTTCTCATCCAACTGTTTAAAGTTTTCTAAATACCCAAACTACCCTTTCTTTAATTTATGAAACCATCTTACTTGTTTTACACTTAATGCTGTTCATTGTCTTGTCCTTTAAAGTTAACTAAAATGGCTATAGTAAAGACAACAGGGAATGTCTAGAGTTTTCAAAATCCATACCCAACAGGTGAATATCCCTTTTTAATTAACTCACCAGAGATTTTTTCCTTTTCCAACGGTGAGTGTCCCTTTTTTAATTAACTTAGAGAGATTTCTTTCCTTTTCCCGTAATGATCACCGGTGAGATAACAAAAGTATTTCTTGATGAGAAGCAATGATGGTATTTTTGGATTAGTTAGGTTTTTAAAGAAGATGGGCAAGAAAAAGAACATAGAGAAAGTTTAATGTGGTATTTTGATAATTGAACGCCCCCCATCATCTAATTTAATGATTGAGGGGCTATTTGTTGCAATATAAAAGTTCAAGGGATCTTTATTGTAAATTAAAATATAAGAGATTCTTTGTCACTGACCAGGCGGTCATTGTAATTTATCTTTTTTAGGTAAAGTACAAAAACCTCCTCTAGAGTTTCTAACAATCATAAAAATCTTTCCTTAACTTTCAAAGAACTCAACAAAAACCTCCCTTGACAGAAAACGTTAGACTGATGCATATTTTTTCTAAATACCCATTTTACCCTTTTGTAAATTAATTTATATTTTTTCATTAAAATAATCCAATGCACATAAGCTTTCTCTTCCTCTTGAAGTAAAATACGAACAATGTATCATATGGTTAATGGAAGACTCGGCCCTTTCTCTAGCGGTGCTCAAAAGATCTGATACTCCTTTCTCATGGGTGGGTGAAGATGAGGATGACGAGAACTCTAAGAAAGCCATAAGGATTGAAATAAAGAGTTGTGTCCGATCTGATTGGATTTCTTCCACCTCAGGCTAGGGAATGCCAGAGCAATCAGAGTGGTTCTTGGGCCAATCATCAACATAATGGCAAAGGGGATGTTGTGGTTGTTCTCTGTCATTGAGTTTAGGCGATGAATTAAAGTTTCTGCAATTCATGTAAGAGCTTCGTTGCGTGGAAATCATTGTTTGCAATAACTTCGCATAAAGCTTATGTGTATTGGGCTATTTCAGTAAAAATGTATATAAATTAATTAACGAAAGGGTATAATGGGTATTTGGAACAATTGAAGCTTCGGTTTAACGTTTTCCGTTAGATCAGTGACAGAGAGGTATTTGTTGAGTTGTTTAAAAGTTTAGAGAAGGTTTTTGTTAAAATGAAACTAAAGGGAAAATTTTTATGATTGTCAAAAACTCCACCGATGGTTTTTGTATTTTACCCCTTCTTTCTCATGGGCTAAACGACCCCAACCCTATCCTATGGCAGTGTGATTTGATCTACTGTCTCTACCCCGACGAGTCAGAGATCCTACCGACGGTAGCCCAGCCGTTTTATAATCAATTAATTATAGTCAGAGATCCTGGTGGCAGTGGGATTAGATTCGAAAATTATTAGATAAACCCTCGCATTTCTAAAACGTCTTCCTTCCTCTCTGCATGAAAGTTGATCAACTGTTTTATAATCATAGTCACGGTTCCTCTGCAAGATCAGATCCAAGAAGTCTCCTTCTGTAAAACTCATCTCATTTTTCGTGAATTGAGTAGCCCAGCTGAGAAGTCGATGGATACGAAGAGATTCAGGACGCAAATATCTCCACCGAAGCACTCAGATCTGGCAAATGACTGTAGTTCTCAAGTAGCAGGGAGGAAGAGTACTGGACTCAATACGATGAAGTTGATGGGGATCCTGGTTGTATGTTTAATGATTTTCCCAGTTCTGGTCTCCATCATTTATCGAGACATGAAGTCAGATCGAGTTCGGGGATTTGCAGAAGCAAGGGATTTTCTATTAATAACCGAAGAAGGTACTTATTTCCAGTATATCTACAAAATCAAATCATGCGTTTTCTTCTTATCTATCATCTTCTTTTTCGGCTGTGTTCACCCATTTCTCGTTTTAATAATTTTTATTTCTTGGAAGACGAACTTTTGCCTTAGCTACTTCCAGAAAATTCTGACTTTTCTCATTTACGTAACCCCAGTAGAATTTCTATATCAATATGATGTTCAATTCACTTGATTTGTCGTCTACGTACGATATGATATTGTTTTTCTAACTCCGTCTTGTTCATCATCGTCAGTCATTGCCGTTGCCATGATCATCATCTTAATTCGTAATAACAACGTTTTGTGTTGTTTGATTCAATGTGATTGTATACTGGAAATGAACACAATTGATGAGTGTTATTTGGAGCTCTTAAACTAAAATCTACATGTTTGATCTAGGATACTAATTGTTAAATTTCTCACTGTGCTATATTTATTTTTTAAACTATGTTGTTCTCTGTAGATGTAATTATAGGGTTCAAAATAAAACATTGTTCTGCTCGTTCAATCAATATCTAGCTAGTAATTTCTTCCTTATGGGATCAGAATTTTTTCTGTTTTTAAGTCCATATATATTTCTGAATGTTCTTTTTAAGTCCGTATATATTTTTTAATTTGTTTCTTGAAGAAAGCATAGTTGAGGATGGATTTTATGGTTGTTTACTAATATTTTAATTGTCCAAGGGATTGATTGGAGGAAATTGAAAAGATAGGATAATATCAACTTCGACGTAATTAAACTGATCCAGTTAAACACTAATTAAAGAACCTTTCAATCTGCTCAAAATTTGAAGGAATGTTTGAATATGAATTCTTAGCTATAGCCTTTTTTTCTTTTTCTTTTTTTTTTGTTTTTTTGTATTTATGAATTTCTTACTGATGTTATCTCTGTCTCATTATGTCTTGTTGTTCATTATCTTTTTCTGATGTCTTCAATGCATTTCATTCCTCTTACAACACAACCCGGCTCGGCTTGTTTGCAAATTTATTTTTAAGCCATTTCACCTCTTTGATTGAAATACCAGTCTCTCATGTTGTAATTGCTTTACCACCATAGTGTCATTCAAGTATTTGGTTAAGTCCACACATTAGAGATCATGTACTCAAGTTGTTCAAGTTTCCACCTTGTTTAGGGTAAAGAAATATAACTGATGGCTTTAAGCTTTTGTTCTGGTCTAGAACCTGAAGGGTAATTTCTCTGATTTTCTGTCTTTCATCCTTTATTATTTATTATGTATTTTTGTCTTTTTCTCCGCCCCCAATAACTAAAAAGACCATTTCAAACAAATTAGGTATCAAGTTTAGAACATCTGTGACTATTTTGACATTTGAACCCCAATATTCCTTCTACAAAATTACAACATAAAGGGTGACTATTCCACAGCTGCTGCTTCACTTGAGATCATAGGTGAGCATAATCTACAGATCCATGCACTTGCGCAGTCTATGTTTCTTCCTAACCTATTTGTCTGTGGAAACAAATTAACATCTACCTTAAATAAGCACTCATGAAAAGAGTAATTTGTAGTTCATTTTGCATGTTTGATTATGATATTTGTACCTAATAAGTTAATTCTGAAATAAAATTTGAATTATGACTGAAAAGGAAGAGTCAGATGATGCAATCAAATAATATGCATTAACTATTTTCTTGTCCATTCCATAATTAACTAAATTTGGATGGAGCATGACTCAATGGTTTCAATTTGATTTCCTAATGCTTGATCTGTTTGCTTTAATGGTGCTCCCCCTCTCATTTAGATTGCTAATTTGTGCTCCCTTCCCCAAATAAAAGTTCCAAAATCAGGTTCCGAAGACATTATATCCGATCAAACTGTTGAGGAGACTCAAGACAAATTGCTTGGCGGCCTTCTTGTTGATGAGTTTGATGATGAGGAATCTTGTCTAAGTAGGTACCAGTCCATCTTATATCGCAAGACACTACCACACAGACCTTCTTCGTATCTTGTATCCAGGTTGCGAAGGTATGAAGCTTTGCATAAGCGCTGTGGAGCCTATACAAAGTCCTACAACAGGACATTGGAGCAGCTCAAGTCTGGCCACATCACTGGGCCCACAGATTGTAAATATGTGGTATGGATATCATTTAGCGGATTGGGAAACAGGATTCTAGCATTAGCTTCAGCATTCTTGTATGCACTTCTCACAAATAGGGTCCTACTTGTTGACCGTGGGAATGATATGACTGATCTCTTCTGTGAACCATTTCCAGGGGTGTCATGGCTACTCCCTTTGGAGTTCCCTCTTAATGATCAGTTCAACAGCTTCAATCAAGGGCATCCTCATTGCTATGGTAATATGGTTTTAAACAACTCAACAGGATCAGTACCACCACCTTTTGTATATCTTCATCTTGCCCATGATTATAATGATCATGATAAGCTTTTCTTCTGTGATCAAGATCAATCTCATCTCCAAAATGTTCCTTGGTTGGTCATCAAGACTGACAACTATTTTGTCCCATCACTCTTCTTGATCCCATCCTTTGACAAGGAACTGAGTAACCTCTTCCCCGATAAAGAAACGGTTTTCCACCACTTGGGTCGCTATCTTTTCCATCCCACAAATTCAGTATGGGGGTTGATTTCCAGGTATTATCAAGCATACTTGGCTAAAGCAGATGTGAGGGTGGGCATCCAGATTAGAGTGTTTGATACTGGCACAGGCCCATTCCAGTATGTGATAGATCAGATCCTAGCTTGTTCCCTGAAGGAGAAAGTGTTGCCGGAAGTTGATGTCCATAAACCCATCATCACTGGGCCATTGGGAAAATAAAGGTCTATAGCTGTCCTGATGACATCTCTAACCTCTGGGTACGTTGAAAAGATAAGGAATATGTATTGGGAGCACCCTACAGTCACTGGGGAGGCGATTGGGGTTTACCAGCCAAGCCATGAAGAGTATCAACAAAGCGAGAAGCAGATACACAACAGGAAGGCATGGGCTGAAATGTATCTCCTGAGCCTGAGCGATGTCTTGGTCACAAGCGCATGGTCGACCTTTGGGTATGTAGCTCAGGGTCTTGGAGGCTTGAAACCATGGATTCTCTACAAGCCTGAGAATAGGACAACCCCTGATCCACCTTGTCGTCAGGCCATGTCCATGGAACCTTGCTTCCATGCTCCTCCACTTTATGATTGCAAGGCAAAGAGAGGGGCAGATACGGGGGCATTTGTCCCGCACGTGAGACATTGTGAGGACATGACCTGGGGCCTTAAGCTGGTCGATTGCTCGTGACCAGTTCTAGGTGTTTGTATTTATTATCTCATCAGTATTATCAGTTGATGCCGAGGATAATGGTGAATTGGTGATTGATAAACACGACTAATCATCTCCACAGGTAGGGGCTGAATTGGACAAGTCCAAACTTAATGGTCCAAGGTATTTATTAAATTGGTTTGGACCTGGTTCATCCATAATAAATTTATATTAGATTGGGTTAGATATATCTGATTCATTAATAGAAGATAAAAATATAGGTGTCAA